TCCAGAAACACTCCCTGCCCCTGCAGAGGGGCAGCTTACCTTTCCAGTCCTACCTAAGGGTGGGAGCTGCAGAACGATGGCACCTGTGGCAGGAGCAGCATCCTGCCAGCATTTCTGGCCTCCAAGAGCAGCCCTACCCAAACACCACCCACAGCAAGGAAGCTAAAACCCTGTTATATGTGGGCCTGACAAATGCACAGCCATGTCTGCCTCAAGGGAAAGGTGATCTCACTGCCTTGGAATGCACTCCAGCCATGGAAAATAGAGAACTTATCCCTACTGAGGACAGGTGCACCAATTTAAAAAAAAAAAAAAAAATCGGCACCAATTTTTCCATCATGAGCTGGAAACTTCTGGACCCTTAGATTATGAGTTTTAATAAAATATAATACTGAAAAATACAATTCTGAATTCCAGAGGCTTCCTGATATATTCCTGAAACCAATGATTCACTGTTGTGATATACAAGATAGACTGCACTTGGAGGGGAAAAAAAAAGGAGCACCTTTTAAAGATTTATCTAAGGGGCTTATTAATATTTAACAGGGCACCAATGCAGCAGAGCTTAGAGAGAACAAGCAAGATAATCCAGTTTCTTGTAGGACTTGGCCGAGGGAATTTTATGTTTAATACAGGGAGAGATAAGGGAAGCAGTTCCAAGCAGCACATAAGGGGCTGGTCTGAAGAAACAGAACATGAATGCTAGGGCAAGAAGGTGGCTGAGCAAGCAATAAAACACATTTAGTGGTAATAATACTTGCTAAAACAAAAGCTTTTCAATTGGAGCAGGCAGCTTCCATAAAGCAGCTCCTGTTTTCAAGAGACACTGCATTTCTTGGGTGTTCCTCCACCACAGGAAGAAGCCTGTCCTTTAGCATCAGCCACCTGTATCCATGTGGACACTGCTCTGGCCCCAAGCATTACTGCTGTTCAGGGAGCTTCCACCTGCTCCAGGCATTCCTGTTCCATGGGCTCTTTGCTCCTCCTTTCCCCTTCCATGAACCCCTTTCCATGGGTTCTTTGCTCCTCAGGGGTGCTGTACTGTGTTCCCACATACCCACCCAGGGTTCAAAAGGGAGCATTTAAAAGGGTCAGAATAGGGTTAAAAAACCCAAATCTCCCAATTTCTGAGTTGCTGCACTAATTTAGAGAGTACATAAAGGGGCTGGGGTAGATCTCACTGCTCCTGCTATCTAGAATCCAGCTCACCTCATCCCTCCAGGTACACTTCAGAGCTGCTCTCTGCCTTGCTGCTCTCCACCCCAGTGAGAGAGTCCAATCTCCACCAGGCCCTCCCAGCCCAGCAAAAATTTCTCTCAGTTCCCCAGATGGGCTTATGGAGTGAACTAGAAAAGTCTTGTGGGCTGCCAGCCATTTCTCAGGCTTACTTTGCCTGAACAGCTTTCACAGCTGCTGGTACCAACACTAACACAAATCCTGGTTGGAAAACACATGTTCCAAGCTTGTCCCACTGCATGCTGCATCCAGAAGAACAATTTGAACAGAAGGCTCAGAGTGTGCCTTGTGCTTTCACTTATTACTGCAGTGGTATCCAAAGTGTCTTTTAAGATAAGCAGCCCTTTAAGATAAGGCTGGCTCCATGTGCTTCCTTCTCCAGGGCACACGTGTGTGATTCAGCCAGAGCTCTGTGCATATCAGATTCTCAAGATGAGATCTGAGGCTTATGCCTGATATATGTCAGAAAAGTAGCAATAAAGCCTGATGAGAATCAGGCAGGAGGTAAGTTTAAAATATTATCAAAATCAAAACCAGGGCAAGGTGTGTTCATGTTAGACTCCTCAAAGGTCAAAAGGTATCAGCTTCAAGTTCCTGGCAGTCAGCACGGAGGCAGGAGCATGGACAGTAACAAGAGGAGGAGAGACCCCATACCATGAGCAGCCACTAACACATCCACGGAGAGGACACCATGGTGCAAAGCCACATGAAGGCCCTGAGCCCAGCAAGCAGAGACAAGCACCTTCAGATGGGATAGGGGAGCTTACAGCCCCTTCCCAGAGAGCTGCTGACAAGTCATCACCACAATCTTCTACAGGAGCAGTGGGACATTCATGCTCTGCCTCCACACAAGGCTCCAGGACATACTGCACACCAAAGCAGCTCATAGTCTTTGAGAAGGCTCCACAACCACCTCAAGGTTTATTCTTTGCAAAGATTAATTGGACAGACATGACCAAACACACTTGAGAACGCAAGCGGAAAGATTTAATATAGTTATTTCTGCCATGGCTTACACTGGAAGAAGCCCACTCCCCCCAAAAATGGATTTGGCGCTTTCAGTCTGAACGTACAGGCATCAACTCAAAAATCTAACTGATGGAAATTACATGTCTTTTAGGGTAATACTATAAAGTCTGACTTTGACATTTTATCATTGTAAATATCTGCCTCTTTGATTTAAATAGAATTACTATGCCACTTCTTAAGGTCTCTCACTGCCTTGTTTAAAATCTAGCCATCATTTCAGTTTGTGGGCTTCAGAGACAAAATAATCCAAAGAATCAACAGCTTGAATGCATAACAAAATCACACCAGGTATATTAAGAACAGAGTTCCATTCTCAGCCCAGCCTTCAGTGAAAATAGACTTTCCTTCACACATACAGAGTATGTAAAAAAACCCGAGGCTTTATAAAGAAATTGAGCTGCTTTTTCCAAGAAAAATCAACCATATATTTTTCCCCAAACCAGAAAGAATCTTGTAAAAGATCATACAGTGGATTCATTACACTGAAGCTGCTGAGATAAGCTTGATGATAAGCGTTATCTTTTTGAGAAACTGATCCGAACCTCACTTATTTCGAGTTAATTGCGTGGTATTTGTTACGGCTGTTATTGTTCCCCCCACAGCTGCAGGCATTCTTCTCTCAAACACACTCAACATGCATACTCATGATTAATGTTATTTTTAACATTTCTGGACAGCACTCAAAAATAAACAACCCACTCAGACTGCCTTAGCACGTGCTCCTGTGAGCCAGACTGCCATCGTCCCACCGAGCTGATACAGCAGTGCAGGTGTATCCCAGAGACATCAGTAATCCAAAAGGTTTGTTTTTAATTCTTATGGGTATTTACATACACAGCCCATCACAAAAGCATTGTTTAGCCCACAACTGGCCTCTAGTTTCAAAGAGGTTTAGTTTTTCAGAAGTTAATGTTAATTAAATTCTATACACTTCTCTAGGAGGAGCTAATGTGAAAAGCTGGATTAATTTTACCACAGCTTCTATTTACCCAGTTTCTAAAAGAAGTCTTCACAATGCAAACAAGTATTCATTTATTGCCCTAGACACATCCATATTGTGCAAGAAGGATGAGAGAGCTGTTTAAATGCAGCCTCAGGACACAATGCAAAACAAAGACTTTGGAGCCTCCATGTAACCTTGAACAAAGCTACACCGCTTAAATGACTGACGTTGACTGGACAGGGTTAAACAACAGCTTTACACAGCTCATAAAACATGAGCTAATTTTAACTTCATTCTTTGCCTCCCCACAATTGCCAGAAAAACTTTTAAAAAGCCAACTTTGCAGCTGAAGAGACAGCCTGAAACAGAATGCAGCTTTTGGAGAGACAGCAGAAAACTGCAACCCTCGCATCACGTGTGACCACCTGCAGATACCAGAGCTTCTGCAGATAACTTTAGACACTGTGTCTCATCCTGAGCAGCCTTTGAAACAGGGAAGGAGAAGGAAGAAATGGCAGTTCTCTAATGAGGGCAGTAAGTCCAAATAACATACATGAAAAGAGACTTAGGAAGGGATTTCCAGTTCAAGTTGATTTATTACTGAAGTGACATGTTTCAGAAGGAAAAAAAAAAAAACACAACGACTGACAAATCTCATCAGCACAGGCAAAAAAGGAGCATGTTGCAATTATTGTGTTGCAGTCAGTGCTGTGTAGGTGACGACAGCCATGCTGAACGATGCTTAGAAAAGAGGAAAGAAAACAAGAAAGACTAACTGTGCCCCTTAAGCCCTGCTTGTTGGGCCAGATTACGTGACACCAGGATGTTCTTTAGTTCAAAGGTTCCTGAGAAGGTTATGAAATCTCCTTTTGACAGCTTCCAGAAACAAAAATACACTTGAGAAATACCCCACTGCCCCAGTTTCTCAACACATTGAAAGCCTTTATATAATGTATTGACACCAAGAATTGCAGCTGCTTCACATACAACCTATACTGAAAACAAGAAAAAGCAGTGATGAATGTAGAAGCTTCTGCTTTCCTAGGTTTAAAAAAAAAAATAAAATAAAATACCAGTTTCCAGGTGTTTCCTACAAGTATTATCCACACCAATCCCCAGGACTCACCCTTCCTACCATCGCACATCTTTGTTCCAGTACAACTTTTTCACAAAGCAGCCTTGTAAAATATTTCCTTCTTCAGAATCCTATACACACTGATCAGAAGTACAGCAGAACTTTATTCTCTGAATGAGGAAGAACATCCAGGCCCAGTATTTGGATATCTGCTTATAAAACTTACTTTGTCTTTTTTTTTAACCTGTCTTCGTTCCTAAGCAGGGCACCAGTTTCAGGTTACTGAAGGAGAAATGTTAGGATGGAACAGGTTTCCTGAGGACACTATTTGTGCAGCATTTGTTCCACAGTAAGACCACTTCAGAAATAAGATTTAGAACAATCCAAAAGGATTTAGTAATAGTTAAAAAAAAAAGCTATGGAGGAATTAACCTGCTGTCCCATGGCTTTACTCTTGACAGCTATTAGAACAGCCTTAGTGCTCTTCCTGCTGCTCTACACCTCTCCAGAGGCAGCTGGACACATGCTTTACCTCCGAGTATAGCCATCAATTTTGAGGACAAGAGGACAAACTACAAAACTCAGAGGGCATTTTCATTAAAATATACCTCCAATTAAGGGCATGTAAGACTTGAACCAAATTATTTAAGAGGATATTAGTGTGAAAAGTACCCTGTTGTCACCTTGAAACTGGAAACACTGGAAAAGCATTCTCACCTGAGCTGTAATCTTTCAGTCGCAGGTCCTTCACAGGTGTCCCATCAGGTCCTCGGAAAGCATTGAGGATCTGCAGGAGAAACAAGATCCACTTCATCTCCAAAACCAAACCTCCAAACCCAAAGTACTTGCCAGTGCACATTTCTGTGTCTCCAAGACTTCTATTCTTTCTAGGTTAAGTCACTTACAAACTGACACACTTTCCACAGTACCTGAGAATCGTTACCGAGTTTTCAAAGTATTTTTGGGTTTTGTTTGAAGAAGCGAGCACAATTTACACCACAATTCAACTGTTCAAAGGTTTATTACACTGGTTTCAGACAGACAGCTCAACTCAGATCCTTATTTAACGTCGAAAATGTCCTACTGCCTTTAAGAAAAATCAAAGTACAAGGGCAACTGCTCTGAGTCTTATCACCCCCTGAAGGACAAAGTTCCTGCCGTGAGCTCTCCTTTATCAAGCCTCAGAAGATGATCACTACAGCTAACCCCAGCAAAAACTGCTGTAGGGGTTCCCATGCATGGAACTTTCACCAAATAAACAAAAAACCCCAAACTGAAGTCCTAATTCATAGTAGAAGCTTTAGGAAATGGATCTACTTTCATCTTGTAGCCTAGATCATTTTATGGATTTTTACTAAAAGCAGCAGGAACAGCAGATATCTTTTCCTTCTTTGTAAGAGCTCATTTAAGCAATTTCAAGTAACTAAGAACAAACAAGTTCCCTTAGACAGTACGTGTCTTCTGAGCCCAAAATAGTAGTAACAATATTTGGTATATATAAAGCAGTGATGAAGTAAGGCATGTTGCAGAGTCTGGAGTCAAGGCTTCTAGCTATCAACACCCCACATGTAAGCACAGGAAAACTCTTCACTTCTAGAACCCCCAAAAACCCAGAATAAGCAGATAACAGGTAACATTGCAGTGACTTCTAAAACTGGATTTTCCCCTGGGGAAATGACAGACCATCTGATATGTACTAACCAGACTTAAAAGTGGTACTTTAGAAACCCTCAGTAAAAGTTTCTGGGTGAGAAACATCACACTTACATCATCTTTTGTGGCAGTTTCAGGCACTCCTCCTAGTCGAATGAGCTTGCTCGGCTTCACATACTTAGGGCAGGTCCGGTAATCTTGGTCCTTGAGTTCATACAATCAAGATAGTTTTATAAATGAGAGATGCTGGCTCACAAGATACACAAGCAGTAGCAAAATAAAGCAGAGAAAAATTCAAAGGCAAAGGCCCATAAGGAGCCTGACTCAAAGCTTTAACCCCTGTTGGAGATTCAGCAAGCTCTGGAGGAGCTCTTCACATGCTCACTGAGCTGTATAGTAAGATCTAGCTCCAGGAAAATAAAATGGGCAGATCATATCTCTCTGCTTTCCAGCAGTGGGAGATTCAAATTCAGTAGCAGTTATTAACTCAGTAGTTACCATTACCTTCAGGTTTCCAAGGTAACTCTGAAGGAAAACAAAGTATGTATGAGAACAGTTGTACACAGGCCCACCCAAGCCAGTAGCTTCTCTCTGATACTGCTCATAGGCAACATCCAGGGGAAAACAGAAAAATAAGTTTATCTATAACCACTTCCCCCAATACCCTCTGCTGGGCCATTTTCAACTTGGGGACTTTCTGAACCAAATCTGGTTCTACATATTTAGCAACTCTCACTTGCTAAACTGCATTTCTCTTGGGAAGTGTTTCTGAGATAGAAAGGATGCCCATTAAATAACCTAGAGCAGAGAATGATCTCAGAGAAGGATGGTGAATTAGAATAGAACTGAAGTGATGGGATATGAAGACTCCTTCCCAACTCCTTCCATTCTTTGGCCAACCCACATGTAACAGAGACATCAATTAACAAAACCACCTACCTGAAGGTTCTTATAGGGCCTAGAATCTTTGCTGGGTTTTCCTTCTGCAAAGGACTTGCCATGTTCATAATCAAACATTTGATGCCCTGGCAGCCGGTGATCCACATCACGATATTCCATATTCCGGTAGTCGGTATCTTGCCTCCCAAGGAAATCCAGGTCACCTTCACCCTTTAGCCCAAGATCAGAATCAGATCTTTGCTGCTCCCCCCCAGAAAGCTGCTGCTGCTTGTTAGCAAAGCTCTGAGGTTGCTCCTCTTGGTCCTGAAGAGTAGGAAGAGGTCCACGGCTATTTTGGAAATTGTGCGAAGTGTCATCTTCAAGACCCAGTCCCAGGGATTTCTCTTCTCTGGCTGGTGCTTCCGAGTGTTGAAATTCTCCTTTTTGGCCACCAAAGGGACTTCTATCTAGACTAAGTGCAGACTCATCTCTTTTGCTGGTGCTTATACCAGAGCCTTCTCTTTCTGCTAAAGGTACGGTAGATTGGTTGTGCCTAAAATCTACAAGGCTTTGATCCACGGGAGGCATTTCCCTATCTGAAAAGTCCATGGGAGGAGCCACATCTCTGCTCCTAAAATCCTGATCAGATCGGGATCTGTGCCTATTTCTGAAGTCTGACGATGGTGCATTCCTGTTTCTGAAGTCCAGATCAGAGGTACCCACACCCCTGAAGTCCAAATCAGGTACATCCCTATTTCTGAAGTCTGAATAGGAATGTTCTCTGCCCCTGTAGTCTAACTCAGACATGTCTCTTGCTCTAAAGTCTGAATGAGGCCCATCTCGACCTCTAAAGTCAAAATCATAAGACCCTCTTCCCCTGAAGTCTGATGGAGGTTCCTCCCTGCCCCTATAATCCATATTATGTGTTTCCCTATCCCTGTAGTTCATACGGAACATGTCCCGGTTCCTGTAGTCCCCTGAGGGAACATCCCCACCCCTGAAGTCCATAGGGGGCCCTTCTCTCTCCCGGAAGTCTCCAGAGTACATATCCCTGCCCCTGTATTCAGAAGGGGGTGGCTCTCTACCTCTGAAATCCATCTGAGACTCATCTCTGCCCTGGAAGTCAGATGGTGGGAAATCCCTGCCCCTGAAATCATGGTGCCCGTCCCCACCTCTGAAGTCACTACGTGGTCCATCTCTAGCTCCATAGCTGAAAGAAGGTTCCTCTCTGTTGGCAAACTGAGGATTGAGGAGGCCTGAGATTGCCTGGATATCAAAAGGAAGTGATTTTCTGCCAGAGAAGTTGCCAGAGTGTCTTTCTTGACCAAGACTATCAAGGGAAGGAGGATATTCCCTGTTCCACCCGGGAGCAAACCTTTCTTCTTGGCTCCCACTGTAGAAATAAAGACAGTATTATTCATAACGTGCTTAAGAGTCTGAAATCTACACAGCAGCACATTCTTCTCTAAACTTTTATACAGCTGTGTAACAGTCTAAGATCCGCAGAAGATATTGATGTTTGGCAGTTTAAGATGAGGCAGCATACGACAGATGTGAGAAAGTAAACTTGGGTGCTCCCATTTCAGCACAATTTCCAGAAGCACTCAACAGGGAATACCTGCAATATTAATGGGTTAATGATGGTAGCAATCCACATAGTCCTGCACTGCACACAGCTCTGCAGCTGTCTGAGGTGCCAGCAGCTGGTGTGTTGGTTCATTAGCATCACCAGCACACGCCTGTGAGGAACCCAGGAGCTTAAGCTCTCTGAGCAGTATGGAAACAGCTAACTTCACACATCATCCTGAGGCACATGAAAGCAGAGGTTACCAAACAGGCTTTATTGACATGCTACAAACTCTCATATATGCTTCCTTGTGCTGGAGTCCAAACTGGAAAATTCTGAAAGCCATCAGTTCAGACACTGAGGGTGCCTCACAGGACTATGCCAACAATCAACATCCAAGATATCCCTGTGCTCGTGCCTCCAGAATGTCTCACACCGAGTTCACTATGAGCTCTTCCACCATAAAAACACTCAGGAAGAAGTTCCTTTTTAAGGCATTCTTCAAAATCCAATGAGTTGAGTTTGTTGGGGTTTTTTTTGAGATAGAACTATCTGATTTTTCATCTAAGTAAGGCTCCAATACATTTTTTAAAAAACAGAATAGTACAGTATCAGCACATTTTAAAATAACACCAAATGCTACCCAAAGCAGTGGACATTTCCTTAGCAACTACAGCAAGTCATGTTGTACTCTGAGTTTCACTACAGAATCACTCACCAAGATTAATCAAAGCATACACAGATTTCCTAAGGTACACGGTCCATTTCACCACCACATAGAAAAGCAATTAAATTTGGATCAAGGTCAGCATTCCTCACCCAATACATTAAAGAATGATGCCAATAAAATCCACTTAAAAATCATTAGAATAGCACTATTCATATCAACACAAGATGCAATCACTCCCTCATCAACACTGTTACTACATGTTCTGAAGGATACTGATTTTCATCAGTTTTCTCAACACATTACAGTAGACATTATTTGAAGTATTCTTATGGCAGAAACCCAAGGTATGCCATGAGCAGTACCTTTATCACACTGATTTTCAAGGGATTGAGTGCACACATGAGCAAAGGATGAAAGAATGATGTACAACAGAGGAAAATTCTAGATTTTGGTGACTTCATTTTTATACCCAGCAGTCTCTTGCAAACACAGGTCCCAGTAACAACCAGAAGAACACAGACTAATAAAAACATTGTGCTGTGCAGGTCAGCTGCACATGAATCTTTAGAACGGTTGCAGTGACATTCAAAAATGTCTTATGAAGGAACATATGGGGACATAGCATTTTTGCAAGTGCAAGTGGTAGGACAATGGGGAATTGGTTTAAACTGAAAGAGAGTGGGTTTATATTAGATACCAGGACTAAATTCTTCCCTGTCAGGACGGTGAGGCCCTGGCACAGGCTTCCCAGAGAAGTTGTAGATGCACCATCCCTGGAAGGGTTCAAGGCCAGATTGGACAGGGCTTGGAGCAGCCTGGGATAGTGGAAGGTATCCCTGCCCATAGCAGAGGTTTGGGAAAAGATGGTCTTTAAGGTCCCTTCCAATCAAACAATTCTGTGATTCTATGATATTTGGACTTATTAACCTCATGGAAATAATTAAACTCCCAAAGTTTTCATAAAATTGTGTGTGCAATGAATGTGCCATTATTTCTGAACTAATTTTCTTCTCTTACAGGTGTTAACAGCACATAATACCAAAAGCTATATAGCACATCACCTTAACTCACAACAGTTAAACTAAGTATCACTAGAAAAGGTGGTGTGGAGAAGGACTAGAAATATTAAAAGCAGCTGTTGCTAAAAAACTAAATCAAAAACTTCACAGAAATGCAAAACCCATCAGTTTACTCGTCTGTTCTTTGGCAATCACAACTAGCTCCAAAGAGACCTCACAACTCCTACCAAAACAGTAAACAGTGGGGTCCCAAGACTTATTGTATCTAAGAATGTTCCTGAAATAAACTGTACATTCAAGTGCTTACCGAAAAGACCCCATTCTGTTGCCTTGTCGATGGTCTCCCCACATTTTGATCTTGTCTGGTAGGCTCTTCCAGAAATGGTAAATTCACTCTAACACCACCCAGACACCACAACCTGTTGAATAAACAACATGATGATAAGCCACAAGGCAAAGAATACACATGACTGAGAAAAGTACTGCTGGTTAGAAGGGGTATATGTAACATCTGATCAGGATCCACAGATACACGACCACACTCAGGCATGAATGAATTCAAGTGCTGCATTTCTCCATGTTCAAATTTGTAAGCGTCAAACGACTCCTGAAATCAAACTGTCAATATGGTGGGCAAACAATTTGATATCTGCTTTGATTAACATAGAGCTTTCCAACATACTGTGCTGTCTGACACTATTCAGGGTGCAGCTAGACATGTGAGAACGTCGCCATCTATAAACAACAAGGACCACTGATGAACAACAGTTTGCAATTAATGTTTAATCCAAACTGTTTTTGCCAAAAGCTCTTTGCTGTTCAAGGAAATGATCACCACTCTTGGTCTACCTTGGATCCTCTGCCCTCAGAAGTATGTAGATAACGGAGGAGGTTTTGCCAATATATCATGACGAGCACTGTTCTCCAACGCTGCCCTCATCAAGCAGAGTGACGCAAGTATCACTTGCCTCAAGAGAAATCTAAAATTTCATCCACTTCCTCCCACCAGCGGAGAAGGTGAGGATTTCCTGGCAATAACCAAAGCCAAGACTTGAAATAGGAAGTACTTCCATCTTTCCTAAAGAAAAACAAAAGGCTGCAGCAGAGCATGGAGAAAACTGAGGGAAATGGCAACCTGATGGCCTCAAACCTGCTCGGGCCAATCCAGCTGCAGTGGTGCAGGAGGGCTGTCATGACACCACAGCAAGGCTGGGAGAACTGGTGCTTACACGCTGTTCCAAAGCAGGATTATTTAACTCCAGTGGTTGAGGGGGCAGAGGACAGTACAGACAGTCACTGCCAGGCCTGGCTGGAGCAGCTCTTGTCAAAGAAAGGCACACAAAGTCCTGTTTGTTCTCCCTTCCAAAGGTCAGCGCTGCCATAGCAGAGGCAGATCGGCAGAGCAGGTTTTGACAGACCTTTCACCAGGGAGCGATTCCGGATGCTGCTGCTGGCAGCTGTCCGTGCCAAGGAGCTGAGGGAGCTGCCGTGCCAAGAGAGTCCATGCTCTTGCCAGGGTTCACTACCCACCAGGGAAGGCTCAGGTGGGAACCAGGGACAGCAGATTCTGGCAGAAACCAAGCATCCAGAGGCTGAGGAAGACAACCTGTGCAACCATCACCGATCCATCCACCCCAACGTCACTTTAAAAAAAATAGGTTCATTCTGATCACCACTCAAGCCTAAGAGTACCAGTCTGCTGACATTTTACATAGTTCTTGATAAATAACAACTCTGGTCTTAAGGATTTCCTCCATCTTTCTAGGAGGAAAAGTTCTCTTTCTAAGAGAACCAAGACCACACTGCCTTCATGGCAAGGGCAGGCAAAGGGAGATGGTTCCTGTCATCAGCCAGTCCTTTCATCTGAGGTCTTTTGCAGCCTGTAGACCTCGCATTTCTTGCTCTTCCCTTCTGGATTTCCCTCCCCCACTCCAGTTCTCCTTAAGTCAACAACCTTACCGACACTTAAAAAAAATAAAAATAAAATCCCTTGCCAGCTGGGAACTGTTTGGACATAATATTCAAATTATCAGATAAGGAAAAAAATACCACTGGACAGCTATCAGGCCTGGCACAGACCTGCTGAGCCATGCAGCAACCTCCGGGAGTGTGAGGTCATGGTTCAATAACACAGGGAGCAGCACCGGCTCGACAGCCCCACTCAGCCTGATTTGCTCCCCGCCTCCACATTTGGCAAAGCACCGGGTGGAAGCTGTGCCAGCTTGTGCTTTTCTGGGTCTGCACCACGGATGACCCTTAGAAGAGAGTTATATTTAACCCAGGTCACTTCAGTGATACGCTTTACCACACAACCCCACAAACCAAGGTGACAGCAAACTGCAGGACAGGGACAGAAGGGTCTTAGCCTGGCTTGCACTGACGTCAAAATCTCCTGAAGGTACACCCTGCTACAACTGCTCCAAAAAAAGCACACCGTGATGAGACATTGTGAGGATTCACCCTTCTGCCACGGGCAGGTATCTGCCAGCTCAGCTCCCAGCTCACAGGTAAATGCTGGGAGACAGGTCAGTGTGAGTGAGGCTGTTTGCCAAAGACACCCCGGGCCAACAGCAAATCCTGGCACAAACCCACCTGCATGCTTGGAATTGTGCATCCATTAGTTTTGTCATACTCTGGTCACCACCAAGCGTTTGAGGAGATGGAAACAGTCCAGTCACTGACGGAGCCCAGACCAACAGCTCTCTAGGACAATCACGAGCTGTTACAATTACCCTGAACATTCAGAGGCAGATATGCATCATCTTTCCCTACTCCTGCCCCAGCTGGCTCTACTTCCTGGTGGCAAAGACTCAGCTCCACCAAAGATACAGAAGACACAACTAAACAAGGAGAAGCTCTTTTGTGGTTTTAGTTCCTCCAATGACTGGTGGTCACACAGCCCTCCCAGGAGAGACAGATGGAGCTCCAGATGCTCCCTGGCAATTACACCCAATGTTTTCCTCAGGACGGTGCCCCTGCCCTCCCCAGACAACTCTGGGGAGGTTCCTGACTCCACTTCCCAAACTGCACATGCCAAGCCTGACAGCAAACTCTTGGATCTCTTATTCCAATTTATATCCTGCTATGATAAAATAATGGCTTTGATCATGAGAATTGTGCAGCTGAGACAGACTAAGCAACTGGTCTTCTTGAGGACTAAATAAAGACATCTGTCAAGGGGCTGAGTGGGAAACACCAGCACAACCCTCAAGTGTCTCCTCACCAATTTACACCACACTTCACACCGTTTTTCCAAATATGGGGGAGAGAAGGGTATTTGGTGACAGACTGGGTGCTATTTTCAGAAAAATACTCTGATACTCAGAGCTTCTCTCCAAACAGATTTTGCCAAGACTTGATATTTATAGAGCACGAGGAAATCAAACACAGAACTACAAATGAGAACAGAGGAAGCAGTTTGCTGTGGAACAACCTTCTATACTCAGTAAAGTTTTGTAGCTTTCTGTAGTAAAGTTTTCTGTACCCAGTAAAGGCTGAAGAAAGGAAAAGACCTCTGTGAAATCCACATACTGCAGGAAGTACAAGAGAAAACTATTCCCCAAAGCTACAGAAGTAGTAACTGCAAGTAACTGCAAGCAACCAAGAAACCCAGTGACATCCAGTGTTAAAGCTGAAGACCCCTAATTCAGAAGAAATATCAAAAGCATGTCAGTGACATATGAAAGTGAAGGGAGAAGGAACCATTTTGTTTCTCATAGGTGTCAGGCTGCAGGATTTTAATTAAAAAAAAAAAAAAAGGATGTGTATACTTTCAGGTGAATTTCTAACGCACACCCCACCAACCAGTGAATGCTGGGAAAGACTCACACCACCAACACCCTGCTGGGATAGGAAAGTGGATTCCACCTTCAACAGCATTGCCAAAAGTAACACCACACAGCAGCAACACCAGCCTCTTGAGGTGCCAATTGTTTTTAAAAACAGAGCATGGGAGGTCACTGTCATCACTCCCAGTCATTCCCGATCACTGCCTTACCTGGCCTCCACCAGAGCCAGACCACATCCTGCCTCCATCTAAGCCTCTATTTACAGCCCAAAATCCCATTTAGCCCATCACTTGAGATTATATCTGCTAACCCACAGCTCCCATCAGATCCCTCTGCACCCCAGCACGAATCCAGCCCACTTTGGTCCATCCCTTTTACAACCAAAAGCATTCCGAGATAGACACACATATGACCTGGTGCAAAAAAGGCCCAAACCTTGATCAGGGCCTCAGAACAACACTGAGATACCCAGAAACACCACAGCTGCTGACAATGATACACACGTGGCAGGCCCCAACACCACCATGTGGAATACTGTATCCTGATCCAGGGGCCGAGCATCCCAACCCCACAATCCACATCCCACTGGGGCGTGGGGTGCTGATGAAGACACCGAGTCCTGACACGCAGCTGCGGGCCCACAGCGGCAGGACCTGCTGCCTCACGCCCCGCAGCGGGCCGCCCCCAGCCTCCCTCGATTCCTGCACCACAGGTGACCCCAAAACATACACCCCCCCCCATCCTCATGGACTCCGCAGCCTCCCCTCCTCTATCCCGGGCGCCCCTCGGGACACTCCTCGCCCCTCTCACCCCACTGAGAGAGATCTCCTTTATCTCACACGATCCCCTTTATCTCCCAGGAGACCCTCATCACCTCCTCCTCCTCTTCCTCCTCCTGCTCCGCCGCTCCCGCCTCGCACAGGCCCCACGGCCGCCACGGCGAGAACCCGGAACTTCCGGCTCCCTCCGCCCTGCGGGCACACAGGGGGTGCTGGGACTTGTAGTCTCTATCCCCTCGTCCCTGCCGCCCGTCCTCAGGCGTGTTCTTGCGTCTCACGGACTACAGCTCCAATGATCCCCCTCGGAGCGCACCGCCTACAACTCCCATGATGCCCCGCGGCGGGTCGCCGCGATGGCGGGGGTGTCGCCGCGGTCGGGGCCGGGACCGGGGGTAGGGCGGGAGGTGACCGCCCGCCGCCGGCTCCGACCCCTTCTCCGACCCGCCTAGGCCGTGCCCAGGGGGCTGCAGGGCGGCCCCGGGAAGGAGCGGCGGAGGTGGGTCCCTGCGCGTTGTCATTAAGGGGGGTCCTGGGCCTGGGTCGTGTCGGGGCTGCAGGAACGGTGTCGCCTCAGCACTGAAGGGGGCAGGGTCGGGGTGGGCCCGTGCTGGGCCGAGGGTGGTCCTGGGGTGAGTCTCGCCCACGGGAAGGTCATCAGGGTGAGGAGGAAAGGTGAGGACCGGGCCCTGATCCACTCCCCGGCACCTTCTAGGGCTGTCATAGGATTTTAGTGGGGTGTCTGGCTCCCCCAGGTGCAGACGGGATCCTAGTAAGCTCCCTGGCACTCTCCGGGGCTGTCCCAGGCTCCCCCAGATGAGGACAGAGCCCTTATCTGTTCCCTGGTACTCTCCAGAGCGGTCACAGGGTTTTGTGGGGTGAGGATTGAACTCCTCGGGGAGGACGGAGCTTTGACCCTTTCCCCAACACCCTCCAGAGCTGTCACAGGTTTGGGAGTGGGGGCTGCATGAACTCCCCCAGGTAGGGACAGGGCACTGATCCACTCCGTGGTACCCTTCAGGGCTATCACAGGACTTTGTGGGGGCTGGTCTGGCTCCTCCAGGTGCAGCGTTTGTTGGGATTGGGTTTGGGAGCAGAAGGTGTGTCAGGTCACAGAGCAGAGCCCGGGCTCCATGAGCTTCCCTAGCAGCCGGATTCAGAGGCACAGGCTCCTAGCTAGTCCGCCTGCCTCCTGTTGCTTTTTGTTGTGCTCACCTTTGGGCTGGTTTTCCCCCAAGGAAGGGAGGAAGGAGCAGGCTGGAGGCATGACCTCTGCTGGAGAGGGCACCTAGCTCCTGGGGTGACGCCATATCTGCCAAGTCAGGAGGAGTGTCACCAGCCTCGTCCCATCGCAGCCACCTAACCCGGTCCAAGGACGGTCATAAACCCCTCCCTTTGCAAACACGAGGCCTCTGGGATCTCTGGTGTATGGGACAAGCCCCATGCAGACCCGTGTCCCTTCCCCCTCGC